AAGGGAACACTGATTTAATACAGCTTTGAAGTGTTACAGTACAGAAGAAAAATGCTTTTAAATATCTTAGTTTAAATTAAACAAGCACAGAGAGTTTGTTTACCTTGTTACATCTCTTTTTTAAGCTTTATTTTTCAGTATTTCACATTTAAACACAGCACTATACTTTATGTGGGGTTTTTTTGGGGGGGGGAGGAGGGTGTCTGCTGCTGGCCAAACCAGTTCTGATTCCAAGTGAGGTGTGTGTCTGACTGTTCAGTTCGTAACTCTGGGGTTCTGCTGTAATCACCTCTGGGCGTTCAAGGTCTGGTCACGCTGCCGATGACCCCAGTAGCAGCCCCTCACTGACTGCTTCTGAGCCAATGTACTGATGGAGGCTACCCTTGCTCTTGATGAAGTACGAGGTAAGATTAGGATACTGGTGATTCAGGCACCAACTTGCTGTCCTTTAGCTTGTGCTGAACTATCTCCTCCTGCATGGTTTGTGAAGTAGGAAGGATTAGTCTGGGGTGACTCACCCTCACCCCCTTTCAACCTCACAAGGAAAGCAGAGTTTAGAAACTTTGCCTCAGTGAAGTGTGTTCAAATGTGTATGACAACATTGAGCCCGTAACATCCCCCACAACACGCCAATCTTGTATATAAAAAACAGATACACAAGTCTAAGTCAGCAGCTTTTTGAAAAAATTCCCCTCTTCTCTATTCATTGATTCTACTCAATGACTCATTCTCATCTGGCTATGGGAACCGCACAGTGGTATGCACAGCAGTCTTCCAAAGAGGTTTGGGTTCAATTGCCTGAATATTTAGGAGGGGGTACACAGTCTAGCAGACAGGGCCCTTCACTGGAAGTCAGGGGCTTTACCTTCTAACCCCAGGATTCCACTGACCTGCTGTGTGATGGTGAACAAGCCATTTCACCTTTCCTCTTCCACTTTGATCATCTTGTCTGTTTAAACTGTAAATCCACAGGGGCTGAATAAATCCTGTGACACGTTAGGGTGCATTTACACAGCATCCTAAACTCAAAAAAGATAGGCAATTTGCATAGCACAGATTGCATATCTTATTTCGATACTACTGTATTTCAAAAATAGCTTATTTTTAAATGTGGGGTGTCTACATAGCACCAAATTTCAAAACACACTATTTCGAGACATCCTATAACTCTCATGGAATGAGGTTTACAGGGATGCCGAAACAGTTCACCCATTATTTCGAAATAACGGACGGCTTGTTAAGACACAGGGTTGCTATTTCAGGATACCTCTGGTATCCTGAAATAGCTGTGAACTGTCGACATACCCTTAGAGCAGGGGTGGGCAATAATTTTTTGCCAGGGGCCACTTCAAATGATTGGTCTGGGTGCAGGGGAGACCCTTTGCCCCCCCCCCCCCATCCCAATAGGCACCCATGCCCCTGGTGGTGGGAAGAGACTTCCTGTGCTCCATCATCCCCAGGTCAATCATGGTCTGAGGATGGGGAAGCTCGAAGCATCCTGATCCCATCCCTTACATTTGAGGATGCAGGGCAGAGGAAACTGCACATACTCCCCCCGGCCCCAGGGAGGAGCATGCGAAGCCTCCTCCTGCCCTGCCAGAAGTGCTCCTGGCAGGGCGAAGAAAACTTCCTGCAGTTTCCCCTACTCCCAGATACTAATTGGCCTGGAGGCAGGGGAGCGGCAGGGCCTCTGTGGGCTGGATCAACCCGCTTGGCAGGCCGGATCCGGCCTGCAAAGGCCCTTTTGCCCACCCCTGCCTTAGAGACTAACAAAAAATATATATCATCATGAGCTTTCATGGGTAAGACTCACTTAGTGGGTCTTACTCACAAAAGCTCACGATCGACTACATTTTGAAGAGTGTGTGTGTAGATTAGTTTGTGTAAAATAAAGCCATTACCTACAGACATGCAAAATTTGGTAAACAATCCTGTCACTTAAATTAGATGAATGCACTCCTTTTTACACTGGAATATGCTGAGTGAAAGGTTTAAATAATTATTTTTGGTTTTCCATCAGAAAAAAAGTCATGACTATTATGATTAGACTCAAAAAATATTTGGTAACAAAATTAAAATCGAGTCACCTATTCAACTGATTTTAATTGAAAGAAAATGTTTAATGTTACAGATCACAAAATAATTCAAATTAGTCACAGAAAAAGTAATGGAAGCTTTACGTGATAGGAGTTACCTTTTTTGGCATTCATATTTGTTTTTTACTTTTTAAGAATGTATTTGCATATTACTTAGTAATATGATAAATATAAAGAATCAGAATTGCTTGCTTGATATCATCTAAAGATTTTTATACGCCAGCAATTTATTTCTATTGCATTTTTAATATTGATTTATTTCTATGTTTATTACAATCAACATTGTTTTGAGATTGGTTTGCACATGGACAACTTTATGTAGCAACACCGAGAGTGGGAAATAGAAAAAAAACTGTTGATTTTAGCAAAAGACTGAAAAACCACAAACATTGTATATCAGCATGCTTTGACTGACACCAGTTAATTTTCTTCACTAAGAGTTTGATTCGAATTTATTATGTATGGTAATTATTCAATACAATTAATGTTTGCAGTTGAAATCTTACATATTTAAAACTGTTCTTTTACTTCCCTTTTGCAACCATATTAACAAAAAAAATCTATTGCATATATTTAATTTCTTGAATTTTCCTTTAATTGTAAGTGTTTTAACTATGCAAAATTACTTTGCCCAGTCAATGACTGGCCTCACCTGCTAGTATTATACATATTTTGTTGGTCTCTAAGTTGTCACAGGACTACTCTTTTTTAAAGTTACAGACTAACATGGCTACCCCGAGACTTCCTAGCTGAATGTGGGGAAGACTTGAGGCTTACTACTGAAATCAATAAAGGCATGTGGAATCATGGTGCCAGTTCCTCTCTCAGAAGAATGAAGGATTCTTTTTAATTACTGTATGAGGCACCAATATGCCAAGGAAATGAGTGCTTTACAAATGAGTGCTTTATATTACATGGGTGTAGGGCAGGAAAACTACTGAGAGGAATGATTATAGTAATATTCGCATGGAAACAAGCACATCAAATTCCATGATTAATGAAGACTGAAGTCCCCCATCAGACAGCTCTTTTCCCATCAGTTGAAATGGGCTGGGGATGGATGGGTTATCATTCCTCATACAGGAAGGAGTGTGATGCCTGTTTTAGTCATGCTTCCTATTTTTATAAGCAGTCTAAAGACTCCGTTATATTGGTTGCTTTGTATGTTCTGGGTACTCTTCTGTATCCAAGAAGATTTCTATGTACAGATTTAACAGTATTTTGCAAGTTGCCACAAACCAAATCTCCAGATCCCTTGACCCTTGGGTGGGGTTTGGAATCTGGATTCTGCAGCTCAAGTCCCTCTCCAGTTTATTTTTTCCTTCCATACAAGCGTTCTTTTCACCTCTCTCATTGATAAATTGTGTCTTGGACTCACACAGCTCCCACCAATATTAATTTTAGTGCTTTGGAATACTTGCAATTTCCTGTTGGGAGCTCTTTCTGAGACAAAATAGGAGGAGTCCTGTTTGAAGCACAAAAGGAAATTGAAAAGTCTATCTTTACTCCAAGACCAATCAAAGACCTCACCTTTCAACTAATTAGAACGGTGTGTTCCAGTGTGCTGTGAAATATTATTATGGCTCCCCAAGCTTAATTTAATCACCATCATTTCTGGTGCTTTCCCAAACTTGGAGAAAGATGTTGAATTGCCCTTAGTGTGCTAGAAATAATTTTATACTCAATTGAAAACACTGAGCCAGTACAACGTACAATGAAGAGGAAGGAGGTAGAGGGGTGCTGTTCCGTACAGGGCTATGACAAGAATCTGAAATTCTAGGCATAGTAGTGCATGAGCCCCCTTTAGCCCCTATTCCCATGCTGTGATCCCACTGCTGCTTAGGGTGGCAGCGGCCATACTTACATTAGCTGGCTTCTAGAGTGCCCAGTATCACTTTTGGGGGCAGACTGGGGCCTCTCTGCTCTTTGGAGCACCGTAGGCAGGCTGGGGTACGCTCAGGACTGATGACTCAGCTCCACTTACCCAGATGGAGGCATGGAATGCAACTCTGTGTACGAGCCCCACGTCCACTACTAGAGCACCCCCACTTCCAGCACCGATGTGGTCATAATTTTTGCAGACGGGTGGGGTTCTCGCTGCCAACAATGAACCATTCATACGGCCACATGCGTGGCAAAACTTGTCTTGCTGGCAAGGGGAGCTTTTTTAAGTTCCCATGAATGACAATTTTTTGTCGTTCAATTGGCAGTGTAGCAAAGCCTAAGATAGGTGAGGCTATTCACACCTCTCAGTTACTATTTTTAGGCTGCCTGCAGATTCATCAATTACACCTGGCTTCCTTTGCAAAGAGGAACTAGAATAATTTTTTGTAGATTTTTTTGAGACTGTTACCACATGACTAGGGGCTGAGGCCCTATGCTGCCTATGTGTTAATGCAGCCCCTGACACAGGCCCCTCCTAGAAGACCCTGAGCACATCTTGAGACATTGAATACCCCAACTGGCATTGATTTCAGCACTTTGCAACAAACTCTCCACATTTCAGGGACTCAGACCCTTTAGTGAACAACTCTGACACTTTTCTGCACAAAAACCCTGCATTACTCTAGAGATGTTCCCTTACCAGCAGTGAAGCACAGCATGTCAGTGCCAGCCATGTGGCATGGCACTGAAGGTCACAGTCAAACCCAGGCCCCTGCCAGCAAAGGTTGCAAATATGTTTTCAAAGCATACCAAGGAAACCAGCCAAAAGTGTCATAACGTCAAAGCAAGAGTGGGCTGTAGGGTGGTCAGTGAAATACTGGCTCTGAAAAAAGTGATCATCTGTCCTCCTCCATCTGTGGTAGTTGTGGCTGGTGGAGGAGAGAGAGGGAGAAAAGATTCTACTTGAAAGTGCTGGGGTGGGGGAGGACTGATGGAAGGAAATAAACAGTAATTAAAAAGCATAATTAGTAACCATGCCTTTAATAACTTGTAAATATAATTTTATAATTTCACACAGCTAGAATATACATTTTTCTCTATGTCTGGCATCTTAAAAGTAATCCACATGTTGATGACCTATTTGTTTGGTTTCACCCCCTTTCTAAAGCATACAAGTTAAATTCTCAATCACCTTAATATACAACAGTTTTAGGGACAAAAAAAAATCTCACCTGATTGTTATCCTGTCACTGAAGTATTTGCTATGCAATTATAACTGGACAACTTAACATGTTATATTAAACAAACAGTAAAACCCAAATTTAAGCTAATAGAAGAAATACTTCAAGATATTCTCTCCCCACTCTCAAACTCCTTCTCCAAACACAATACCCAGAATCACAATGCCTATTTCCTAGAAGAAGTAAAAATGGCAAGAATACTTAGGCAACTCTTTTTGGACCCAAGGCTTTATTTGTCTTAAACATCACAGTGCAATGATTTCCACTTCCGCAACTTTCAGCCTCTAGCAAAGAAACTGAATTCACATCTGAACTAATAAAATGGAACATGCTAACCACAATGGGCAACACTGCGAGCCCAAAGTTACACTCCTAGAACTTCATTTAAGCTTCTACAGCGGCAGCTTGTTTTTCAGAGGAGCTAAGCGTCTGCAGCTTCCATTGACTCAATGGGAGCAGGGGTTACTCAGCAGCTTCGAGTTAAGCCACTTCTAGTTACTTGCCTAAATAAGAATGCATAAGTCTGATTTAGGTCCCCCTGGTTTGAATGTTTTGGCCACAATGTTCCCTGCACAGGCAAATATGAAGGAACAGAAACTGAACCACTAGAGAATTCACGTCGGGAGTTCCAAGCCATGGCACAGCTATTGTAGCGGTAAAGTCACTGGTACTTTAGGGTTGTATCACTGATACTCTACCTGGGCTTCCCTTAAGGCTGGGCTTAGGGCTCAGGGCTCACTCCTGAGAAGGGCTGGTGTGCCCCCACCAACACTGAAGCAAATGGGAGATGCCCAGAAGAAGTGCTGAATAAGGCCCAATTTGGTTCCATTGCAGTCAATGATAAAATTCCCCACTTATTTCAACGGGAGCAGGAGCAGGTCCTTATTGATGCATCTCTCCCTTTAGCCCTGAGGAACTACCTAGCTTCCATTCAAAAGTGCATGATCTAATTCCCAGTGGAGTGAGGGCTTCACCAGATCCATCTTACAAGACTGGGGTTCAGAGCAGCACAGGCTGCATTGTAGGGTTAGAACAGATAGAGAGGAATGAGAGGCAGTGGGCATAGGCTGCGCCACCCAAAGTCTTAGCCTGCTTCCCAGGTACAGCTGGCTAAACTGATGGGAAACCTCTGAGCTTCAGTGAAATTAAAAAAAAAAAAACACAAGACTGAAGGAATGAGTGACACTAAAGCTAATGTGAATAGGCGAGCCTTATTTTTTTAAACTCTATCTCCCACCGCTTTAACAAATCCACTATATAAGTACAGATAAATCAGTCACCCAGCACCCTCTTTCACAGTCCTCCTGTACATGCAGAACAAAAACAAATTCACAAGTGCAAAGAGTTAAATCTTCAGAGCTCCTACTTTGTGAATTTACCAAGAGCTCAAGTTTGCTAATAAAAGCAAGAGTGAAGAGGTTCATTCTTCTTGAGTGCACAAACGAAAATCTGCCTTACTAGCTTCTAATAGAGAGTGTGTCTAAATTGACATAAATAATCACAGACTTGATTAGAAAGAATATATTATTTTAGACTTTTTTAAAGTTTTCATGTAAGACCTTTATACTCTTGACATCTATGTGAACAATGAATCAAACTAAAACAGGCACTTCTCAAGCGCTATTGTGTTTTAAAATGACACATGGGAGGAACTGAACAAGTATGAATTAATGTCTACGATGGGAAATGAGGGGAGCTCTTCATGGTGTTGGTTTTTTCAAGTCTCGGATCTGTTTAATCAAGTAGTTCTTCTCATCGTTGAACTGTTCATCATCCGTCCTCTCTTTCTGGAAATTGCTCAGAAACTCAATTAGCTTGGGTTGGTTTTTCAATAGAATCTCCACGATGGGCTGCGTTTTGTTTGGACTGGCCACAAATACCTAACATGCAAACAAAACCACACAGACGGACAGAAAGAGAGGGATGAACAATCAGAGTCATGACACTGCCCTACATCATTCTCTGTTGAGTCAACTGAATGCTGGAGCCCAGATTCTCTGGTGCCTCCCATGCATCGTATGATTGTAAAGCTAAATGTTGAAAGCTGGCTATAAATCCCCAATCACTTCCACACATACAGCCCTAAAACCAGAAATGTCTTAGAATTACTGGGAGAATAGGCCAGGCTTGTGTTGATGATACAGTTTCTATATAAAACTGAAATGGCCTAAAATTAGACCAAGCAGTTTTGTTTTTGGTTGGGAGCGTACATCATATTCTCCACTTCACCCTCCCTAGACCATTCTAGTGAGCAGGCTGGGAAAGGAAATTCACAACAGAAAGACCCACCACATTTCAACCTGTTTGCTACACCCACAAGGACATAACAGTGAGGAAGAGCAGAAGGATAGTGCACCACACTTACATATGCATCTCACTGCCAGCCCAGTGCCTTGGACTCGATGCTTGTAGATCACCCAGGTCAGAGGCTGGGATCTTTGCTATGTAGCAATCCCTCATTTTGGAGGAACGCACCTCTTGCCCACCCTGTAACTTTTCTTGGGCTCCCTGTTAGTCTGGTTCTGAGGGCTTCTCTTGCTTACATCTGTACTATCCTTCAAAGGGAGAAGCTGCAGCTTTTACTGATGCCCGAGCAGCTGTACACCCAGCCTAGAACCCAGTCCCTGTGAAGATTCTCATGTCCCAGGAAGGACAAGCCCACCCTGCCACAAGGTACACATCTGTACCCACAAGAGGCCTCTCCAACAATCTGGCCCTTCGTTCTGAACCCTATTATACAAATTGCAAGCTGTTTCCCCACAGTTTAGATAAATTTAAAAAATTGTTTGTTAAAGCACAATGCAAATCTATTTGCAATGGCTTGCATTTTCTGAAGTATCTAGGCCCCTTTAAGAAGTCTCAGATAGGCCACCCAAAAAGTAAAATGCCCAAAATGATTAGTCAATGTGAACATTAGATTTCACTGTATCTGCCCAGTGTGAAAGGAACAGCCTGCAAACAGTCTTGAAAGGATTTAATTTTAAAACTGACTCTAGACTAAAATATGTATTAGCATAGCAAATGATTACACATGAGATAATGTCTCCTAATAGGCTGAATTCTTTAGCTCTATACATCAACAGGCCAATCAACCCATTGACCCCAGAGCTGAAACTGGTCCTATGACTTTCCTATATGCATTGCAGGAGGATTACCACCCAGCTGAAAGTACATGAAAGCTCACATAGCTGAACCTGCAACATCCCCCACAGACAAAAAGAGAGATCAGTTCTATAGCTCAGACATAACACAGTGGGTATTTAAACACAAACGTGGCTTCTGCCCTGCACTGAGTGGAAACTGTCAAAGTTATGCAGAACCCTTTGCAGAACGAGCAGCAGGAGGTAGCTTTGTGACGTTCATGAAAGAGAATGGAAAAATAAAGCTAAGGTCAAACACGCTGTGTAACTCATTCTATTTTTAGATTTAAATACTAAAACCTATTTCTGCTACATCTCTGCTTAAGAAAAATGTTATATTACACTAAACCACCAGTGGGGGATAAGTCCACAAAATAATCTAATACGACAGCCAAGAGAGGCTGCTATAGCCTATATTTGTATGTGTGTTCTTGCAACATAATGCAGAGTGCTTTAGTTTTGATTGCTTGCAAGAGAACAAGGAAACAAAAAACACATACTAGGATGGACCAATAATGGTAGCAAATATATTTGTTAAAAGAAAACGCATGAATATTCAGAAAGACCCTTTTATTGTTCAGCCTTCGAACCAGATATTGAACCCCTGATTGGAACGGAGAGGTAGAAAAGCTGTGCACAGGGGAAGGTTTTTAAAAACAGTTAAGATACTTGCTAATCCCCTTGTCTGTGTTACCTGACGAATACATATATTCCCAAGGCTTTTAGGTGGCCATGTGTGGGTGATGGATTGTGTGGTGTGGAAGCTAAGGCTTAGAGAGTTATCATTTCGAACAAGTAAGCCTAAGAGTGGGAGCAGGGAAGATGTCATGCTGGGGGAACAGTTATGTGGGAGGAAGTACTGAAAATGAGAACTAATTACTTATCTTCAGTACCTCTGGGCAGAATGCTCCGTATGAGTATGGCTGTCCTCAGAGCTTTAAAAGTTAACTGCATTTTTAATTGCCATCCAACTGTATTGTAAAATAGTTAGAATTATAGATGCTCATGGTTCTAGTTAAAATATTGCAGCTTCAAATCCTCAATAATCAAATACTGTACTGAGAGTCATGTGGCCTCTTCAGGGTCAGCTGGGACACAGGAGAACTGGAATTTGGATACTTACAAAACAAGCACTTTTTTCATTTCAAATGTGCCTAGCTGCAAAAACATCCAAGTCAGGTAACTTAAACCCAAATCTTTTGGCAGCTCTCAGTAAGTAGCAAGTATTAGCCACTTGGCAAATCTTTGCTATCAAATCGGTATTGGCAGACTATAGTACAGGCAGTCCCCGGGTTACGTACAAGATAAGAACAAACCTACAGTCCCTAAGTTGAATCTGTATGTAAGTCGGAACTGGCGTCCAAATTGAGCTGCTGCTGAAGCTGATCAGTTTCAACAGCGGCTGAATCTGGATGCCAGTTCTGACTTACATACCGATTCAACTTAAGAACCCCAGGCGTCCCCAAGTCAGCTGCAACTCTGCCTAGGACTTACTGTAGTCAGCTGCTGGTCAGTTTCAGCAGCGGCTGAATCAGGACGCCTGGGGCAGAGCAGCTGGGGTGCTGCTGGGTTGCTCCAGTAGCGCCGAGGAGCGGCGCTACTGGCAGCGCCCCAGCAGCAC